AAAAATATCACAAATAATACAGGGAAGAAGTCAAAGAAACACCTCCGAAAGGGAAATCAGACCAAGACAAAGATAAAATTGGTCACTTAGTCAATCATGACTAATTGAAGGCCACAAAGGAAAAGTTCTTTTGTACTGCGGTGACGGCATTGCGTGATCCGAGCTAGACTTTTTGTGTATTCCCGGTTTCCCTTTTGCCTTTCTCCTCCTTCATTTATCACGGAGCGCCGTGTGCCGTCGTGCCTATTTCTTTGTCCCTGCACGACATGAGAAATTGGCGAGACTGCTGCCCCTTGAGAGAAACCCCTGCTCACATGCTGAACAATTTGCCGCCGGCCTGATCGGGACGACCTGTCAACCTGACAATGGCACATATGATCCCCTCTATCGGGATGATCCCTCCTCCCGTTTTTCTGCATCTTTAGCATTCAAGGAGCGGGCGGCTCGAGCCTTTTGTCTGCTTATCTGCTCAGTCACTTCAATCACCGCTGTCCAATCTCCCTTTTCTCGAATTCTACTTTAATCTCCTTCTGTATCTGCCTTCCATTTTTCCTGCATCGCAACCAGCGAGGGACTTTATCTTTCAGATGTTATCGCAAACTTGGGTAGAGGGGTGGGAGAAAACGAATGTAGCGTGCTCCGCAATTTCCTTTCCCCATTCATCTGCTGAGCGATGCTTCCTCCGCGCATCATTGATTTCTCTTCTGAGGGTATTGCTCCGATTAGCCTTTTCCTAATGATTTCAAAGTGAAGTCATATGTTTTGATTTGCCACCTATCGCGGGATTTTGATTTACAATGATCAAAGTGGAGCGGCTTCCCGCATTTTTGGTGGTGTGACAAAGTTTTCGACGCATCACATCAAAGCATGCGCCTTATCATGTAATGATATGCTCTATAAAGATGAGACACGGCGTCTTGGGGATTCCTCCCACCCTATGTGTCAGGAGAGACAGAAAATCTCAATCCCACGAAAGACAGCCTTTTTCTAATGTGAAGGCAAAAAAAAAAAAACATGCTACAAACACAAGAATGCAAGAGCAATCATTTGCTGCTAAACCGACTATACATAGCACAACATCTCTCAGGAGGCAGTCGCGTTTTACCTCAGTGAATCATGGAGCAGAGTAAATCTGTTGCATGTCGAGGGAAAGCGAGTCGAGTGTCGCTCGCTATCAAACGATTGCTTTTCCTTTCCCCGGCTAAATAGGGCGACGAGTACGCGGGAGTATTTGACCTTTGAATTCCAACTGGTACATCGTACACTTTTTGTCAACAAACACAAGCACGTTTGTGTAGACTCCAAAAAAAAAAAAAAAAAAATCATGACACAGAATTAATGAATGTTGTCACTCAAAGCTGTATCTTGATAGGGGCAGATTTTTATTTTTTTAGATGGCGTTTCCTATTTCCTAACCTTTAAGTAGTTTCTATGGAGTGTCCCCTTTCACACGTTATTGTGCATTAAACTTTGGTTACCCCGGTAACCGATACTGAAAAAAAAAAGATTAGCCTCTGCTCTACTAGACCAGGGATCACCCACATGGTGTCCACGGGAACCAGGTAGTCCCATAGGACCACATGAGAGGCCCGCAGGCCTGTTCTAAAAATAGCTTACCATTGTGATACTTTTCAAAAGGGCAACAAGTTGACACCGTGCCTTCATTTATTTGTTCTTGCAATATCTAACTGAACAGATAAAACACCTCACGACAAACAACTCACGACCCTTTCCACTAAGGACAAAGCAAAATCAAGCACTGACCATGTTACAGCTACAACACATCAACTGTATAATAAATACCGCAAAACTATATAGAACAACCACAATTATTCCGTGTAATCCTCGAACATTATTATAAACACATGTCTATGTATCAATCAATCAAGATGACCTATATCATCATCTTGGGGGGAAAAAAAACGTACAGTGCCGCTCCAAATTTTGATCAGTTTCTCTCGAACCTTTCCAACTGTCTCTTGGCTTGATCCTCCCTTGAAAAAGAGGCTTTGGGGATTATTTAATGATGACCCAAATAGAGCCAAGCGCCTCGTTACAGGCATCTTGGTTAAGAGACAGATTGCGCTGCTATTGGAGGGGAGTCTGAGGTTGAGCTGTGAGGAGCGGGACAGCGCTTCCACGCTGTAACAGCGCTGGCAGGTCGACGCTGCTTAAGTGGCGCTAATTCCCCCTGACGTGCGGACATGTTTGCTACAAACCACAGACATTTATTCTTGGATCGACGCGGGGGTGACAGCCGAGTTATGAGCGTAATCGGCGTCGCGTTGGATAAATTGCACTTCCCCGCTGGAACCGTCAACTCCGATGACCCAACAACACGTGCCACATTGTAGCCCGGGAGGTGTCGTGAATACTTTGGAGTGGAAATGGTGACGAGTTACTTTATAGCTTCCAAATAATCTCACTGGCGACTGTTTTGGCCTGGGCACTGGCCTTTCGAGAACGCCACCGTGAATTGGTCACCGTGGCAACATTGTACCATCCCACACTCAGCAACAGCTCCGAGGAGAGAGAGAGAGAGAGACCCGTTTGCTCTCACCCTGACAACTTTCCGTCCCTTACAGAAACGCGTAGCAAATACGTTGCTGTTCTCTTCAGTGAACGCGCAACACCACGGGGCGCTCGTAGCAGAGATAGTCGGATTGAAATGTTCTCCAAGTGGACTGAACTCATCAGTGGCAGCGGGAAAAGGGGAGGGATGAGATAATGAGGTGAAGGCGGGTACGGTGTATAAATAGAGAATGGCAGCTTGTGGGAGCAAGCACAGCACAGTGGAAGTGGCAAACCACTTCAACTTTTGTCTATCTTTACTTACAAGGAGACTTGGCATCAAGAGATTCCACGTCTTTCATTCAAAGTGGTGGAAAGTTGGTCAAACAGTTCAGAAAAAGAATGCGTTTAGATCTCCTAACAACAATGTTTGTGCCTCTCAAGTCAAAACAAGATTTGGGGATACGGATGATGACAATGCAGATTGTTGCTCGGTACTCTCTGAGTAAGACAATAATTACATTACAGTAGATGATATAAAAATATTGTGATCATACAAGACAATTTCTGAAAGAAATGAGTAGCAGTCTACCTCACTCAAGCACGTTCATGTCCCTTCAGCAAGAGCTGTTTTATTCCATTGAATGTGACATTGCCTGCGGAGTGAAACGTGGTTTTCCGGTGGCGACGGTTTGAGCATGAAACTCATGATTTAACTGGACATTATTTTCCGAAAAGAAAAACTGAGGTTCCACTGTAAAATGCCCGCTGGCCCATTGGGAATTGGCAGTGTCACTTTGGAACGTTACACACATGAAAGCAGCTGCCGCATGCCTTTGGTATTTCATACTTGAGAAAAGTCAGCTTTGAGTTGACTTGAAACCCGCCTCATGTTCACGGAGCATCACAAACAAAAGATAAAAGAAGGTGCTGGGCGCAGTGCTGAAGCGAGCACTGCGTTTGTAGGTTCAAACCAAGTCGCCCAAAGCCCAATGGTGCATATGTCAGATAAATAAGCCACCAAAAGACTTTCAAAGAGCCCTGATGGGGCCGGAGGGTCAGGACTGTTTAGTTGACATGTGCATGATAATGCCTCTCCACTTTCCCTCCCGGTGGGACTGGACAAGGGGAAGCCATATCACAAAGGTCAGCCACAATAGGCTCCTCATTCATGCGGTTGTCATAGTAACCGCGCCGCCCCGCTCGGGCCACAAGGGTCATTGTCATCAAGGAATTCTCCCGGCGAAACTAATTGGTGTGTTTATGTGCCGGGACTCCAATATCTGCCCTGCTGATGGGCGATGATGCAAAGGAATGCGAAGCTGCAATGAGCGTGCGTCACAATCAACCGGGAGCTTTCTCATATTTGGACATCTTTCACTGTGCTTTTCATACTGTCACTTTGCATTTTTCTGATCCATCCCTAAAGAACTTCGGCGTTTAATAAAAGACCAGGATACCGGGAGTCGAAGCGAATGCCACCATCTGGATGTCGCTCTTTTGTGCATCCTCATGGGTCTGAGTTTGGAATATTAGCGCAGGCTGACTGTTGCTAGCACGGCAAGGACAATGGAAACGAGTACGTGTCATGTGACAAAAATAGACCTGCAAAAGTTTCTTTTAATAGATGGATCGCACCGAAACGGTCGTCCGGCGTGCGGTCCACGCTGGAACTTTCTCAAGACCTCGTGTGTGGTGCCATTCGGATCGGTGAGGTGAAATTTCTAAATCAAGCGGCGAAGGCAGAGTGCTGTTTTTCAAGTGGAAGATGAATTATGGTTGATTTTTAAAAAAGGTGACTGCTTCATAAGATAGATAGATCTAATTTGACGCAAAAACGACTTTGCAATGAAATCCTTGAAATGCCATCCAATCCACGAGCTGCTTCAAAGATTTCAGACTCGGATTTTGGGCACTTAATGAAGCAACGGCTGCATTGTTTTGCACGCAGAGCAGAGGAACGCAAAAAGAAGACCGTTCAAACACATCAGGCAAATTAAAATGGAAACTCTGGAGCAAACTGCGCCACAAAGCTGTTAAAAGCACAGAACAGAACAGTGGAAAATGTTGATGTAGCCACGTCGAGATGAATATGCCCGTGCACATTTCCCATGACCTTCCGAAACTATCAGCAGATATGGAAAAGAGGAGCAGAAGCCAAACGCTATTTGTTGAATGTTTAAAACCTGCTGGCGGAGCCGGCACTCTGCCAGCGCCACCACGTGGCCCCGGGTGGCGTAGCATCGTTTAAAAACTTTGAAACACTGATTTGAGGCAACGTGTGGCTGTTTCATCATCAGCGTGTCAAATAAATGCATTTCGTTTTGGGGGACTTGAGTGCAAGATGCAAGTTCAACTACGTGCGCGATTTTTGAAAAAAGGACCAAAAAAATATCAGCAAATGGACAAGGGAATAATTGCAGCTGCAATAGCTCTCACGGTAAGAAAAAGGAAAGGACAATTAAATATGAGCGCGCCGATTTTCTTACCTGGTGAGGTGGTCAACTCGCAGTCATTTAGTTGAGATCCACGCTGCGTATCTTGTCCGCGCAGAAGAGCAACGACGAATATTATATCCTCGGGTTGCGCCGCGTCTGTGCTCGGGACGGGAGCTCAGCCTCAGCCAAAGTGGCTCGCAGCAGAACCTCCTCCCGGAACTCTTGCCTCTATTTCTGACCCACGCAGGAGAGCGCGCCGCGCGGCGTGGCTTGAAACCGGACACTGCGCCACAGTGTGCCTCTCCCCCTTGGGAGAGAAAAAAAGCAAGGGGTGGTGTATTGTAGGACCCAAAACGGGAGGGGGGAGGGAGACAACCTTAGTCCAGATGGAGCCCGTGTGAGGAGGGAAGCGATGCAGTAGGCGTGCGCAGCAAGCAGGGCAGCCTGCGCGCTTGGATGTGCGGGTGGACGACGCTTCTCCTCTCGACGCGTCCTCGGCGGCGGCAGGAGAGAAAGACGTGGCAGCGGCGCACAGCTGTCCTGCAGGTGGACAAGGAGGGAAGGGAGCTTAGCCAGATCGAACCACTGGAGCAACTGGTGGTCAGATGGGTGGGATTCGGAAATAGGACTCGGGAGATGATGAGGTGCCGTTTGTCGTGCAAGCAGTTTATCACCTTTAGCTTCAAAATGTTTCAAAAAATAAAAGTCACTTTTTTTCCTTCACAGTCCAAAAATATTTGTCAACTTATGGGTATGTTAGCTCGTTAAATCTTCAAGGTTACACTTAAATGCCAATGTTAATTTAATTATTAAATCTAGATGTGATATATTCCAAAGGTTCAAAAGAAATGGAACTGTTTGCGGTCTCAAAAAATGAAAGAGGCCTCTTCCTACTTTCACATTCATAATAAACCGGCACAAATAGGTAAGAGCTCAGCAGATTAGTCGATTCATCGACTCGTCGGCTTTCCCGCTCCGCAATAGAGCCTGAAGTCAATTACGTGCCAATCACGTTTTGGCAGGAACAACACAGACGCCTAGTAGGAAGCAAAGGGTGAGGAGGGTGGCGGGTCGGTGCAGTCAACTCGAGGCGATGCCTCAAGCGTGTGGAAATATTTGACTATCATTGCAAAATACGCACGCCTATCAATGTAAAACGAGCGCCATGCACAGCAGGCATCTGAAAAGATGTTCGCTAACTCTTGCTGACCAACAGTAAATCCTCAATTTGCAAATTCAACAAATGCCAAACTGGAACAGAGCGAGGGTGGTAACGCATTATTGTCTTTTGTGTGTGCAATGCTGAATAATATGTTAGGATGCACTTCAATTCCAGTTTCAAAGGTTCACAAAAAAATCTTTTGGCAAATGTACGCACTCACCGCCGCTCTGACCTTCACAACTTTTCCTTTTCACTTCAGGAATCTCAGCCTTTCTTTCTCTCTGCATGCTTGGCTCGCGTGCACAATAGACGTGTTACTTGCTCACGGCCAAAATCGTAGCCCGCAGAGATACGTTTCAGAGCCAGTCTTCAGCTGTGAGATGTGCAGCGAGCAAGCGAGTTTCATCTTTAAAACAACCCCCCCCCCAAAAAAAAAAAAATGCAGTGTGTCTCAAGGTGCCGTAAGGCACAATGATGGATGATTGTTTCTTTCGGAAGGAGCCTCATACAAATGGAATCAAATCTTTACTTCGTGTGTGTGTGTCTATACTGTAAGGAGCCTCATACAAATGGAATCAAATCTTTACTTTGTGTGTGTGTATATACTGTACAGTGTCTGTGTGTGTGTGTGTTTTGTGCTCAGCATTTTTGTTTGGATGTGAGGCAAGCCAACTTCAATTGCCCTACAACCCAATAAAAATTTTAGGCTGTCTCCTGTTTTTCACCTGGTCCTGTGTGTGTGTGTGTGTGTGTGTGTGTGTGTGTGTGTGTGTGTGTGTGTGTGTGTGTGTGTGTGTGTGTTTGTGTGTGTGCGCGCGCGCGCGGGTTTCATCATTAAGGCTATAGAATACATGTTTTTGCTGCAGCGCGTGGGTTTCATCATTAAGACTATAGAAGACATGTTTTTGCTGGCCCACGTAGCGCAGTGACCAAATATTTTCAAAGTAGTGCCATGATGAAAGGCCACTTTTATCTTAAGAAGGCACCATGTTAATGGGAATAGGAAATCCCTGTGATGTCAGCTTCTCGTGTGACTTTGTTCTCCCGATGCGGTTTTTTTTTTCCAAAATAAATCAACAATTGAACGAAAAATTGCGATTCTCGTGTGACTTTGTTCTCCCGATGCGGTTTTTTTTCCAAAATAAATCAACAATTGAACAAAAAAATTGTGATTCATTGACAAAGTCCAACTTTAATCTCCTTGCAACTTTTACTTGACAAAACAAAGCCTGTTCTTCCACCACGTTTTCCTGACGGGTGAAGTCTTTTTTTTTGAGAAAATATGATTATTTTGTGAAATGGGGATATTTCTCATCATATTATAGCCGAGTGAATCAACACAACTTTTCTTGACACGCAACGTTTTTATTCTGGTCACGTGACCATCTTATCTGAACAAAATTTCCGCAACCTTGGATGACTTCTCAACACAAAGTGAAATGAATTCTTGTAAAACCTTCGCCAAACAAAGCATTTACCTTCATTCCATTGCTATTTTTATTCTCTCGTTACACTGGCAGCAGAATGGCTTTTCTCAACAACATAAAAAGACTTGATTCTCCTCACATGATGACTTTTTTCAACAAAATCCAATTTGTCAAAACAGGGATGTCAATTTCTTAAAAGATGAATCCATCCACATAAAACAGTGACCAAAAAAAAAAAAAAAAACAACCTCAACAGTAGATTGAGCTTTGTGGGCTGGAACCTGAACTTTTCCAACAAGCGATTCGTCATGCAGCCTCTTCTCGGCATTTTTCAAGCCTCGGGTCATCCCACAACTTGGAAACAACCACTGGAGACCCAACACGCTCATCTTTGCTGACACCGAGCAGCGAGTAAAATACCCCGCCTCTCACACGTACTGTACGTTGACCTGCGTGGAGCGCCGACGGTGATAAATGGGAGAAGAAAAGCAGTAGGAGTGGTGAGAATGGGGATGAATGAAGCGAGCGAAAACAAGGCAAAGGCCATTCCGGCTGTGAAAGCCGCGCGGCCATCTCTCATCCTCGGCTAACGCGCTCAATGAGCCGTCGGAGCCACGGCGCCAAGTCATTCCTCAGCCGCTCCGTGGCCCTTCCAGCGGCACCGGCCACGGCCTTGCGGGCTCCACGCTCTACTTGCGCTGTCACGCTCCGCGCAAGAAGGATTGGACCGGGAGGCCAGAAACATCACCGGCAAGGAGGAAGAATGTGGACCACCGGGGAAATGTGAAACTTGCCATCAAATTGTTAACAGCTTCATGTTAAAAGTCGACTTTGGGAACGTAACAAAGGATTTGCACCGTTACATGACTCAAGTGATCTCAGCATTGTTAAGGAAATATTTGGGGTCATCTTTCTCATTTTCTTTTCTTTTCTAAGCTGGTAGTATTTGTCCATGTCCCCCACTGTCCTCCCGCGATGTTCCTACCTAAAAGAAGACTCCCTTTCGTCTTTCCGTCGCCATTGGTGGGCGAGCAACGTCCACGGAGCGAGGTGGACTCGGCCAAATTCAATCACGGCCATTGAACGTTTGGAGGCGTGAGGTCTTTGGTCCAAGGGCTGTTTGAAGATTTAATTCGTGTCAAAATGAGGAAGCTGCAGGATGCACGGGGCAATCACCTCCTCCGTGGCCGCAGTTCACCGCAAAGAGTGCTGGCTCCTGATCGGTCTGTCTTCAGGAGAGACGACATCAGCAGGCAATAGTTTTATGGGGGCAACATTCGGGTTAAGTGAAGATAGCGAGGCAAAAATCTCACCACGGTTGTATTAAGAGAAAAATAAAGCCTCTTATGCAAGGTCCCAAGCAGTGTGTAATCCACAGTGGGGGGCAACTGGCGCCACCCTGAGCATTGGAATCTTCTTCACATAATCTTTGACATGCTGTTAAAAGGGCAGCGGCACCCGATCAAAGAATGGATACTTTATTCCTAGGCCCAATCTTGACCAATACTTGATGATATTAAACAACTACTCTACGGTACAGCAGCAGACTGCTGAGCACACACGGTTGCACAATTTCTTCACTGTGCAGCCATAAAGCTCTTTTTCTGGTTCGGCGACGCGGGGAACATAACATAAGAAAATCTGCAAACCGTGGTTCAATGTGTCCCGTTCGATATCGCCGAAGTGATTCTTGTATACGTCAGGCGTTTACTGCCCCATAAAGGAAAACATAAAAGAATCAGCAGGATAGAAATAGCACGCGGAATGTGCGTTAAAGGACAATTATCACAGTCATTACCGGGGTATTGTCATTTGTTATTATTCTCAGTCAAGCCGAGATCCCCTTTCTCCTAATGAGCTTGCGACGTGGCAGAGGAACTCATTAGAACGAATTGGAAAGACGGACATCTCTCATCTGCACATTTCTTCCGTAGGGGCCAGCTGCAAAAGCCGCCGTTAGACGGTATTTGCCATTTCTCTCTCTCTCTCTCGCTCTCTCTCTCGAGAAACGAGCCACGTCGACGAGAGCAGGGGACACCTGGATGATTGTTGATTCATTCCATTTAGCGCCGTCAATCCAGTAATTGTGTGTTCCCAGTCCGCAGAGTCGCCGCAAGCTGCATCCATTTTTTTTCTCAACATGATATCAGAACAAAATAAAAAGGACGCGCGTGCCTGTTTGTTTTCGCGATGAAATGCAAATGTCAAAACCCGCGGCGAAAAGTCTTTGCCGTCGGCTTTGAACATGACGTCCGTGAGTCGCATTCAACTTCTTCCAGGCTGTGTTGGACTGGATGAAAGCAAATAGCTCAACACTTCCATTAGGGAGTGCCGTATGGATGGATGAAAAGAGATCGTGCAGATATTTCTGTGTGTTTCAATTTTGCGATTAGAGCTACAACATTTTCTGCAAGGTGCATGGGGGAAAAAAAAAGTTTTTCAAGGTAACTGAACAAAAATTCCCACCGACGCATGCAAAAATCATCTGGGAAGTGTTCCCTGTAGAGCGGAGGGACGCTGAAGGACGGCTGCTTTCCTGACTGTCTCTACGGGCGAACTTTTCTTTGCAGATAAAGTATTGCACTTACGGATGCCTCCGTGAGCCTTTTTAGACAGTGCAACAGTACAAGGTTGCTTATACACACAAAAAAGAACATTTTATTATCTCCGTGTTGTGTTACATTATGTTGTTATCCACTTCGATGTCTGTTATGTGATGTCCCAGCATTCTTGTCAAGACAGGGGCTGAAAAGTCCAACGTGTCCTTCACCTGAGCAAACGGAAAGATCCGTGTGTGTGTGTGTGTGTGTGTGTGTGTGTGTGTGTGTGTGTGTGTGTGTGTGTGTGTGTTTGCTCATGCTCAAGAAGTGATGGCATTTGGTGAACTGTGCAAAGACAAGAAAGGAGTCTGCAATCCAATCAGCCCCAAGTCGGTCCATTTCAAAGCCAGCGCACACACATCACATATTGTATCATCATAACAGAAAGAGAGCAGTTGTTGAATATTGTAAACAGATGTGCAAGGTCGAGTAAACAAAGACGGGAATTATTTCATCTCATCTATTACTAGACACAATTCCTCGCATCTGCAGGGTGATGAACGGAAATTGAGACGACGTAGGAGTTGACTCGTCCATTCCAATTACGGTGATGGAGAGATGATGTGAAATGTGAAACACACACACACACACACACACACACACACACACACACACACACACACACACACACACACACACACACACCTTGATCCATAATCTAATTCCTGGCGGTCTGCTCGCAAACGTTTCAAAAGTGAACCCTGGCAGTGGAAGCGGGAATCACGGCACCGTGAAGCTGATTAAGAGCCATTGATGCCGACGTGTAGATTTTCGGCCATGCACAACAGCTGTAGATCTGTCAAGTGGCCATTCCTTCCTACTCGCGCGATCCACATGTTGCCTGGGTGAGACCCGCAGGGGGCGGTTTTGGCACACCGAGTGGAATTCCACTTGGTGTGCGGAATGGTCGGACTGGCTGTCATCACTCGTCAAGGCGCCGGTCAAGGCTATAAAAGTCTGTCTGAATTAGCTCCAGAAGCTCCCTGGCAACTTGCCGCAAACATCAGGACACAATACGGCGAACGCCGGCTGAAGCTGAGCGATGGGAATCGCTCGGAGTTCCTTTTCAGCAACACGGTAACAGTCAGCCTCGCTTCTGCGATTGCTCTTCCATTTTCTTTTCCGCTGTCTGATCATCTCAAGTACAAACAAGCAGTAAGCATAGAAGTCCTACTTCTGCGTGGACTCTCAAGCATTTGAAAAATTAATGTTAAAAATCAATATGTGTGTGTGATGCTAGGAGTAGGCATTCTCTCTGTCCATTATATTTCATCATTCAATTGTGGAATCGAATGTGTTTTTTTTCTGAGGTTCCATATGGTATTTCAAAGTTAATGCATGGTGCAGCTCTTGGCAAACACGTCCCTGTTGAGCTAAAATACTTGATAAGGAAATGCTTTTTGTTTTGTTGCTATAATTAAGCATTTAAGGCATATTATAAACGTATACACTTCACTGGGACCGAGCATCCAAATAAATTCCAATAGACTTCCCTGTAAAAAAAAAAAAAAAAAAAAAAAAAGAATCATAATCATTTCTGGTCACGTGTATTTCCAAACAGTGTTTGGAGCCAAAAGGCTCACAGAGGAGTCTTGGCATAGATGGATGGTTTGCTCCACAGGTCACTGTGGTGACAGCCGACCGGTGCTCCCAGACAAGATCATTTCTCATGTTCACCTTTCATCTTTAAGATGAAGCCACCAGAGGATAAAAGACACAAACTCCCAACTTTCAATTTGGAGCAAAATCAATCTAACTGCGGGGACTGAGATCGTGCACTTTTTATACAAAAGTGTGTCATGATTTGGCGAGGGATTCATAGAACCCAAAGTCAATTAGAACACTCCAATAGGAGCCAAGTGCTTTTTTTCCCCCCACCTTACTTAAGCCACAAAAACACACTTCTGCACCCAAACCTCCCCAACTTTGGATCATAGTTTATGGACAAACAGATGAAAAGAAGTTCTCTCGGAAAACCAAGTCACAGAAGACGAAACCAATCAAGACAGAACACCAACAGGCTGCAGACAGCAGCCGCCAGCTGCTATAGAATTGTCAACTAATCAGGCAGTTTACAGTGGAATCACTGCACCTTGCTGTCTATCATGCAAGCCCGGAGCCCATTTTGATTTGTCTCAATCAGAAATGAATTACGGGAAAACAGGAAAAGCATACAAATGTAAATGAAAAAGGCCATTTCAAATATGAATATGTGCATGTGTCCGTTTTATTTGGTGAAGCCAATGTGTGTGTGTATGTGCACACACCAAATATTTTTCTTGAGTGTACAGTTGCCTTGACATTGGTAACACAACACTTTTGTTAAGCCAGGCCAATTCCACATTTCCAATCTTAAAGAAAACGTCGTGTCATGTTTGTCTTTTTTTTTCCATGCCGTCTATTAATCAAAAGTGAGCAAAGTGTGCAAATGCGGCCGCAGGAGAGCAAAGCGACAGGTTCAAGGCACAAATGGAATAACAGCCAGCGGAACAACACTGCCCTCTAGTGGAGCGTATGCAGAGATGCAATGGTAACCGAGGTACCTTCAGTCAATGCCGTAAAAATTAAGCGGTGCAAACCTTGATCAGAACTTGAGATGCAATGAGAAACTCTGCAGCGTTTACCATCGACCCACCGGTCACAACATAATGTCTTTTAAGGTGGAATGAAAGAATTGGCCTCTACCAGGAGATATATGTCATATCTTTCTCTCCCAAACACAAATTAGTACCAGTTTGGACAGACCGAGCTGACAGAGGTTGAAACTGAACAGTATTGATTTTAGCATTTGACATTATTCAAATTGGAGAAACTGTCATTGTGACAACAGGACCAACGTCTTGCACCGTGGCTAAAAGTGGCACATCACTGTTCCGTGCAAAAAAAATCAAACAGGAATTATACATTGTTTTGGCACATCCGCACGCCCAATAAGATAGCAATGTGTAGTCAACATGTTTGTGGAGGCTGGCTCATATGGGCCGCACAGACCAGTTTGTCACAAATACATGACTTACCTCGACTTGTTTGTTCCTCTCGTCATCCTCTTTTGATTATTTTTCTTCCTTTGCGTTCCCTGATTGATGAGTTCATTTTGATGTGCAATATCCGTTTTTTTTTTTTTTTTCAGCAAGCCTGCTCGTAGGGGGCTCGCCTTCAACGCCCAACGTGTCATTGCAATCACTTTTGTGAATTGTGTGGTTGATATATCAGCCGTGTGTCGGAGGTGCAAGCAGGTCACAAATCAATAAATGTCGGGAAACATTGCCGGTGTCTGTGACATATTCACAAATGCGGAAGCATTTTTTCTCCCACTCCCTCGGACCGTTCGCACCTGATACGAGGGCGCGGCTCATTAATACCGGGGCACCTGCGAACTAGAAAAACGCCTTCAAAACAAAACAAAACAAAAACAATCCAGTTGCATACATACGAAGGCCCTTAAGGTGACATGGAAGGGGAAAAAACAACAACTTTGAGACAGAGTGCGAGACAATGCAAAATTGTTTTTTGCCTGCCTCCTACCCGCCAATGTGGGTAGGAGGCAGTTTACATCCCATCACCTCTGAGTAAAATCCAAGCAGAAGATCAATGGATGCGAGAAATATAAATAACTTTTGATTTCAACAACGCATTGAAACCGCAAAATGTTTGAGTTTTGAAAAAGTATCACTTGGAGGTTTGTATAAAACCCTTCAAATTATTGGCCAACAGTTTGGTGACTTGAAAATGATGCGGAGGGCCGTTTGCACAGAAAGGAAAAAATCATCTGCATAATAACAGTGTCGAACAAAGAAAGGCGTGGAATGGTCAACCAAAATAAACAACACATTTACAGTATTTTCAACAAGTTTAATGCAGTAATGCCCCCCCCCCCCAACCCCCTCAAAAAAAAGCCACCCCATCAAAATGTCACAACTTGATGAGATTAAATTCAAATAAACTGTGCTGGGAATGAGCAGGAAGTTAAAGTGGAGACCGAGACATGAGAAGACACTCACACATGACGCTTGGATATAAATCACTTGTCATGTGGCTGCAGTTGGTGCTACATTTTGCACATTGCCTCCCCCACATCTTCAAAGAACCACAAGGAAAAAAAAGTCAATCACAATTCCAACCTCTCAACTACAATCAAACCGTGAATTTGTCGACAAGCTGACGGAAAACCAAACAGAGGCAGACTTCCAAATGCAGTGAAATCAAATTGGCGAAATCGCATGGCAAGGACAACGTAACAACAGAAAGTGAGCTGACCAACCTGTGGTAGATTCAGGTAGATAAGAAGCTGAAAAAATAGTTTTGGGTTGGTTTTCATTTTGCAGTATTTCAGAAAAGAACAAAAAAAGAAAGCAGGAGTAGCCCTTGAACACACAAACTGAAAGGACTCTCATACGCACGCTCAAAGTCACAATATCAATCATCGAGTATGTTGCTGCAGGGTTTTCAAGACAGTCAATACAGTGGCCGAGCCATTTCCGTAATTCATTTTATCATTGGATTATACGTTGCCCACTTCAGTTCAGGCGTGACTGAATAAAATATTGGAAACACCCATTTGCGCAACTCCAGACAGCACCACAAAGCACAGCCAGCTAATAACACTCAACAAGCGGATTAATTGTGGCGGCACCGATGTTGGTTCTAACCAGATGTACATGATAAATTGACAAAATGCTCCCCAATAACCTCTGCGGGGAGCCCCTTGGCACATGAAACAAAAGAATCCACATTAAAAAAAAAAGAAAAAAAATCTTGCGAAAACCAGCACTTTGAAAATATACATACATACATACAAGCGGGTATAGTAAAGCCCAGAAAACGTATTTGGCCGCAAAAAAAAAAAAAAAACAAATTATATGTATCCTGTATATTTTTTTTATGGAGCGAAAACTAACGTGACAAAGTGACATTACTGTAAATTGAATAATTTTATGAAACCTTGTGAACTGTGGGGATTTACAGTATTACGGAAGAGTAATTTATCGTTTACAAATACTGACGCTAACTGGGTCTCTGGAGTGTCTGCCTCCCCACTGCTGAAGGTGTGAAATTACACAACCAAGTGAACTTTCTGTTCGCTGTACATTTTTGAAAACGTGTCTACGAGTGAGCTGTTTTGCACTTCTGCCCAGCTGTTATAAAAACAATGCTTTGTAATAGCTCGCCACTCTCCATAACCACCCCGGCCGGCCTCTTGCTGCTGAGGGCCGTGGAAGAGGAGATGACCAAACTCGGTTGACCTTCTACCGAAATCCGGATTTGCCATTATTATGTGGGGTGGGATGAGGGCTGGCTCGTTGATAAAAGCCAGCTGGGCACCCAAATGACGATTTTTGCAAGAAAAGAAATAGTGTGCATAAAATGTAATGTCTTTTTTAGATATATATCTCTCCTTGGGGTACTTTTGATTAAAGCATGCCACATACATGTGACGAAGACACTTCGGCGCGGTTTTAAATTGTGAAAATAAATGCATAACATCTGCTTGCTACTGTGATAGTGCATAAAGGCAAAAATCATGACTGTAATAATCATTCTGGACACATATTTGGATGCTCTTCGACACAGTCATTTGCCCCAAAATGTAATTCTGTCTTCTTTAGAGTGCGCATGCTTTGAAAGAAACCACCGTGACAAAAAGAATTCTCAGTCAAAAGTGCAACTGAAGAACGGGCTTGTGTTTGCCAACTTCCCCAATCGAGGTTGAAAGCGGCGTGAAATGCGCTACACTTTGAGGTTGAAAATGCGAACAGTATTTCTCTTCATGTGTCTTGACTCTGCTGGAGTTTTGACATCAGAACTGTCACGCTCATGGTTGCAACAGGTCAGGTTTTGAGGCACACGCGGGCTTGCTGATGTCATCTGTTATGACCAAAAAGATCACATGCCTACAAAGTAGAAAAAAACAAAGGCGAACCAAACTGGGCTCAAAAGACCACTGAGCACACATTTATAAGCGTGTGTCCACTGTGGCGCAACCAAGAGCAAGGCTGAGGTTTGTCCGTAGGAAGGCAGTATGGGGGGGCAAATTGGTTTTGGTAATCAACCAGCCGGGCGTGCTCTCAAGAGTCGAACTCCGTGCAGCTCACTCGCCTCCTTGTTGGCGGGCCTGGGGCGAGGGAGACTGCGTATAAGGGGGCGGCGCCTCGTTGGAGCTCCCGGAGTGCCCTCCCTCAGAGATGAGAGGTGTGCGATTGGAGGGCTGAGGGGCGTCGGCCTCATCGGCGTGGGCGCACTCGCTGTAGGGTGGTGGTTTCAGATCGTCTTCTGGAAAGGAAAGCGGAGGGGGTAGGAATTGCGTTGAAACAAAGGGCACAAAAGCTTTCAAAATTAACCAACGCTCTGAGGGCTGTGGCGACATTCACACATGGCACGATTGTGGCCAGGACAGATGAATATTTGTCTGGCGGACAGAGAATAGATTCATTTTCCTTCCCATCTACAGCTAAAGCATGAAACTGACTTTGGAGACGAATCTCGCCTCCCGGCTATCGCCATAAGTGAACAGTTAAAAAAGAGATCATAGGAACCTTCAAACACAGCTTGATGGATCGTGCATGACAGAATTGGGAACGCGGAGTCATACGCAACCATAATGCATCCCACTGGAGACTATTTCAATACTCGATGGTATCTGGACAGGTACCAAAGCATCATGCAGGTTCATCAACGGAACAATATTAGTTGATTTGAAAGCTGCAAAGAGCCAGAAAACCGAATCTGTCTTTCTGTTTGAAAGCGACAACGGGTGCGCTACCTCCGGACACTGCATCATACGGCGGCGGCATGTCCAGGTGGGACAAGGATACGGCGGGTGGCAGTGCCGTGGAGGGCTCTTCCTGTGACAGGTCATCAGGGACGCCATACCAGCTTGGCCACAGTGAGGTTTGCTGCGGGGGGGATGAAAAACCAATTACTTATATAAGCGGGTGTTTCTACACGCTAGTTAAACGACGCCAAACATATGTAAGTACATTGAGAAAACCTTTAGGGGATGCGCTATTCCGGTTTTACTCCACACATTCTGTCGTTTTTCTGAGGGTTCCAATACTGAATGTACTTGTAACGCTTTGCTTCAGGCCACACATTTGCAAACTTGACAAGCCAGCATATATTTTTCCATTTTTGCGGTGGATTAAGATGGCTGCACTCTGCAATGCCGCACGCTTATGAACCGCCGTGAAACTTGACCGATGTCAACATTTAGTTGAGAATCTATTTGATCGACAACATTTGTATTTCCAAAATAATGCTGAAAACATCACAGACTTGGACCGTTAGCCATCACTAATGCAATGGGGGAGAACGTTAAGACAAACAGGAAATTCCTGAAATGAGTCATACACATCATGACGTCCATGTTGCTGCTTGCCGGTGTTCCCCAGACACCTCAAGCGCATTTACATGAAGACTTGTGTGTCATTCTGACTGAAATCATCCCGAACGAAGATCTCGGGTCAGTCGGTTATATGTGACGTGATCTAGTCCGATCTGCCGTTCGTATGCGCCATAACGATCAGCCGTGTGACATGTGGACAACTTACACTCTGTCTCTCGCACATTTGATGGAGGTAGGCCCTCCCTCCGACAATGACTATCTGGGCATTGCGGGGGTTGCTCAAGTAAGCGGCGAGCTGCCTTTGTCTCGAGCGGTACCAGCACACGTAGAAGAAGATCTTGATGATGATGAACACTATGACCACTCTGTAATGATGGGGAGGGAGAGGAGGAGGAGGAGGACAAATCGGGTTACCCCATTGGTCATTCACGCTCAATAATTAGCATTGTTGCTATTCATTAATACAGGATACGCACATATACCAGTACAGCTCCATTTTAGTGAGACTTCAAGTCACTGGGCAGTGGTTTCCATAGCTGACTAACGATGGGAGTCAATTTCTAAACGGAAAATAAAACTAGTTAGGGCAAATAAACAACATGAATATCTGTCCAGGTTGTGAACAAAAAAACCAAACATCAAATCTTGATAAAAATGATTAATTGCATGTAAAAGATGAGAAGTGATGTCGGGTTAAAGTGACATTCAGCCAAAAGTGTTAATTGATTTTTTCTTTGGCTTTTACATAATTCTCCTGCAAAACATATTTTGTGAGCATTGATGAATTGTTCTTTAAATTGAGTTGGATCCCCCAACCATCCCAATGTGGTGACAATGAAAATAAATAAGACTAGAAGAGAACAGTGGAGTGATTACACATTAGCCCCACAATGCAGAGGTGCACGGTTCGATTCCGGCTCCGGACTTCCTGTGCGGAGTTTGCATGTTCTCCGCGCTCCTGCGTGGGTTTTCTCTGGGTACTTCGGTTTCCTCCCACATTCCAAAAACATGCATGACGGGTTAATGGAACACTCTAAATTGTCCCTGGGTGCAAGTGTGAGTGTGAATGGTTGTTTGTCTATGTGCGCTCTGCGATTGGCAGGCAACCAGTACCCTGCCAACTGCCCGAAAACAGCTAGGAGAGACTCTGGTACACCCGCGACCCTTGTGGGAATTAGCCGATAAGAAAATGGACGGATGCATGGGGAAAAGAGAATAGAATTTACAATAGGCGTGGAGTCATATTCAAAGAACCACTATGAAAAGAAATGGTCTGACTATTTAAATACACGTTTTTAGTCAAAAACGAGGACGTGAGACATGAGAAGGGTTTCTTCTCTTCTTCAGGTTACTATCCCATGTAGAAACTATGCAATACAATGGAGGAGATCAATTGGAAATGTATGCCAAGGGCCGCAGTTTGGACATCAGTGTCTGATTCAACAACACACAAAAAACTGCATCATTGCCAATCCTTCTCGAACACCGCGCATTTTGTAGATCAGCTGAAAAAAAAAACCACCACTGTGCATCCTTAAATCTAAATTCTACTCAACATATGTATTACTTTTAAATAAAAGGGAGTAAAGAATACAGTAATGAGGTTTGACTCTAAGCAGTAACAATCAAAAACAGCTGTTTGGGAGCAACAAGCGAGCAGCCAAAGCTCGCTGATCACCAAACTTTGCCCAGAACAAATAGGATGGACTTACTTTAATGCGGCGCCATGGAAGCAAAGTCCACCACGGTTGGTTAGCCGCCGAGGTGGCCCATTTGCCTGCGTCTCGTGCGGGGAGGTGATGCCAAGGAAGCTCGGGAGCAGCTGAAGCTATTGAAGCAGGCCACAAACACTTACAGTGGCCCCCGTTTACCCGACCATTCCGCCGAAAAGCACCTGGAAATGACCTAATGTGCAAGCATTTTCAACGCAGAGGACTTCCAGCTTCCTGGTCAAAATATAAATGGTTTAGATTGACAGGAAAACAAAAACTAAATCGCCTTGTAGTTTCGCTTAGCATTGTCCTAGTGGCCACTTCCAACAACGCCCACTCGAGTGGGCGGGGTTTTAGCTGTTGCCTTCGGGTGAAATCGGGAAATGCTCGATTTAACCGCAGAGACGCGCGTGACTAAATAACTTTTAAAAAGATGAAAATAATTCCGCGATTTTTAAAAACAAATTATTCGTTCTCTTATGTTCGTATTAACTGCACAAACTAAAGCCATGGAGACAGAATCATGTCGGACATAATAAGAGCCTTGGCCTTCTTGAGAATGAGCTAAATAGGACCTTTAACATTCACGAGGGTCTCAGAATGGTACATAAGGTCGCTGCATTAAAAAAAATGTAAAGGAGTCAGTAATACATTTGTTCAAGACGTTTTTTGATTAATTTATGACTAGAATCTTAACGCTTTTGCCCAACACTAACCGATTGCAAACACCGATTTAAGCGCCGACAATGACAGGAGGTGATCAGGTTTGAACACCAGTGGACGCTTTGTCGCCTTCAAGTGGTCATTATTGAAAACAACAACCTCACGCTTGTGTGATATTGAAATCGTGTACAATAAAAAAATATATTAAAATACAAATTAACATTAAAGAAAGCTATTACTTGAATTTAAACCATGTAACTGTTGATGTTCAATGCAAACACTTTTAATCAGAAAATAATGTTCAATTTGTATCCTCAGCTGTTTCCACATTCACAACATACAAAATACACACAGCGAGAATCAATTATTAGCCAGTGAAATATCTTGACTAATTGAACCTCTCATTTTGTTGTTTGATGCTGTTTTTATCGGTTATCTTCGACAATGATGGTCCGCCTTGGGTAAGTGTCTATGTCCACAAATATGTAGCGGAATTCATACTTTCCAGATTCGGGATTCTGCAAAAGAAGACATTTTTTTCTGAATGACAAATTTGATTACAAAACTCGACTGCATCCTGTGCTACAATGCATATAACATTACAAATTTTAGGGTGTATTAAGACAATGTTTTAGATACAGGATCGTGCATCAAGTATGATGGACAGGACAGGTGCATCTAAATAAAACAAATAACTTGAATATCACAGAAAACTTCCATTTTAGCATTTCAATTGAAACAGTGAAAATCATATTAGATTTACTAAACACTTGGTTAACTATTTCATGTTTTTAATATTATTTTGATGATTAAAGTTAATAGAAATAATGTAGAAATTAAGTCATATTTGGTCTTCTGAAAAGTATTTTCCAAATGTGCTTAATAAAAATATGAGCAACAAGAGTGTCACTTTTGAGCTGGATGTTTGAAATCAATGAATTTTTGTGTGATATTCAAATGTATTGCCTATACTCTTAAAGAAGAGATGAGTACCGGTAATACAAACCTCCATTGACTCAGAGTGCACAGTGCCTTTTAGCCCCGGTTCAGATCCCTCAATGTAAAATTTGAGTCTCATGTGTTTCAGTCCGTCCTTTAGATACTCCCTATGACTACAGTGGAAACACATAAGCTGACATTTATTGAACATTAAAATGTAATTGTTATCATATTCCCAACCTGATTTGCTGTCTTCTTCCCCGACGAGTCGTCTCACCGTAACACTTGATTGGTTCTCCGAATGCGCCAATTACCTGTATGTGAAAACAGCAACAATATCAAGGTTTTGTGTCCAACCTCTCAGCAGGCAATGAAGCAAACCTTCACATGTACTGTAAACAACCATGCATGGCAAGATATGTATGTACCACCTTCTAAGATAAAGTGTTTAGTACCTCTGGGTCTAATCTGACTTTGTTGAAAGCTTTTCCATAGACTTTATTTGGACTAGAGGAAGAAAACAATTCCTGGAAGACCACATACAGAAGGCCACCTGAAACACATGTAAAAATGTGTTAAGAAAATAGGACGAAACAACTGAACAACAAAATGATCTGCTCAGCATCTGTTCGTGACATAATCTCCTGTCTAATTGTTGTATTGTTTGTTCTATTTACCGGTCACTCCAAGTCCGATGAGTACGACAATCAAGTAGGTGAAATCCCGGCCAGCTTCTTTTACTGTATGACATTTTGCAACAAATTCGTATATTTAAAAGATGCAATCTAGAGTTGCAACAACACATTTACTTCACTTCTCAGTTACTAAAGAGTGTGTCAAAATGTATTGTTTACCTTTGTGTGTCGTTGACAGCTTTGGACTCCCACTCTGGTATTTGTACACTGATTTCTGTCCACCGTCTCGCTCCTCGCTTTTATTTCTTAGTCCGAAGTCAAGAGTAATACCTCTGCGTGACTGCAGTAAACAGCACAGAGAGTGACTATTACACGAAGGGGATTCGAGCTGCCAGTGGAAGGTCGATCTCGAAAGGACTGACTCCGTTTTGTGTGTGTGGATGGACAAATTGCCTGCTGTCATTCTGCACGTCTGCGTCGCTGTTGGCTTTAAATTCCGATACAGGACTTTTAATATCTGCATATACGCCATTCTTATACGTGTGTATCTGGATAGAAACGATATCCATAAAAGTTATTATAAACGGAACGTATTCAGACTATACCCGACTAAAAGTGCGCGACAGCAAGTGTGTCAAACCACCCTCGACTCATATATTATACGTCACATGCTAGGACTCATGGGAAGTTGAGTCCTAAAGAGGGAAGGGGCGCTTTCGACATCCCCAGGCTGCAAAATTATTGCTGACATTAATTATTTTGTCGCCGTTTGAAAAAAATATGTAGCTAAAAGAATGAAATCCCAGAATAAAAAAAACTACAGACATGACGACCTGAAGCTTTATTTATACGTACTTTAATGTACCATAAGCTATCTACAATGCACGTTGACTGAATTGATGACACAACACAATAAATCAGTAAAGGTTTGTTTATTTAAATATTCTGTCCAGCATTATCTTTATAATATCAAATCAATATGCAAATGACTCTCTTAAATGAAAACACAATGTAATGATCAAGAGTGACAAACTAAGAAATTATAATGCCCAGACATATGCTACCTATGAGAAGCGTTTATAAATGAAATTCATCACTTCATTTCCACACATCAACCTTTAGACATGTAAGCACCTCACACAGCACCCAGTCTATAAATAAACATGAAACGTTTAACTGAAGCATGAAAATGATTTGTAAAAACATGATTTATGTGTTTTTTTTTCTTCTTCATGAACTGCTTTACATTAAAGGTATTCTCTGGTTTCAGTCATTTATCAATGCTCCATTGCTAGTTCATCCTTGCCAGATGTGGTCCACAGGTACAGGAACAAAACACCTGTGTGGCGTGAAGCAAAGAAACAACTTGATGCGTTCGCCCCCTTCATCACTCTAATTACTCAGCCATATTAGTTCACAGAAGATTCACACGGGAGAGAGACCTCCAAATGCTGTCAAACTTGGCAAGATGCAGAGGAATGATGCACCTGTCTGATGTATCTGTTGAGAAATAAAAACACCATTACTTCCACTCCCTTCTTTTCTGGGCCTTGCATGCTTTTTTTTTGTTCCCTTTTCTTCTTTTTAGTTTTAATCTGCTTGTGATAAATTGGTCCAGGCGTACTTATTTTAAGCGAGATGTCTGCGACACTAAAACGTAGCGCGCACAGAGCACAAACAAAGTTTTCAAGATGCACTGAAATAATGCATGGCACACGGTGGTTTCAGTCAGTCGGTAATGACAGCCATCTCATGGGAGAAAAAAAAGAGAGGTCTACTGAAATGGAAGACCCATCTCGCAAGTAACTGGGACAAAGTTTCAATTCTCGCAGAGGTCATCATCCATCCATTTTATCCCCCATTGGTCCTCATTAGGGTCATGGGTGATCTGAGGGTGACTTAGGGCAGGAGCTGGAGTACACCCTGGACCAGTTTCCAGCCAGTCACAAGAGGAAAGGCTACTTTTCAAGAACTGCAGTGAGAATGCGATTGTGCGCAAGTATTTTGTGTAGAGTTTACGTACATACAAATTTGCTTTGCATGAGTGCATGTATGTTTGGTGCAGGTTTTAACTCCAAAACCAATTTTACAAGAGATGATCCCTCCCCAAGGCTGTTGTCTTAACCTCATAATCCTAACAACACCACAGTTAAATTTTTGATTAAAGCCAATGTGAATTTCCGGAGGATAAAAAAAAAAAAAAAATACCCATCAAGTTTCAGTTTGGTGGGCTACTCCATAAAGCAAACAAGAAACACACATTTCAAAGCGCTAATTATGTCTGTGAGCCACGGCATGCGTGCATGACAGATTTACATAATGAGACAAGTTGAACGAAGCAACAAAAAGTCAGTGCTTTATTGTTATTTAAGATTAATACTGTTACAAAGAATCAATAAGACCAGCCCTGAAGGATCGTTAAAAAAAAAAAAAAAAAAAACATCTTATTTTGCCTGAGTAGAAAAGTCGGGTTTTATACATAGGCATTAAGCTTCCTACAGCGATTGTTAGGAGACAAACCAGCTTGTAAGTATAGAAGAAAATGCGACACGATGTAGAATATAAGTGCGCACACACACACACACACACACACACACACACACACACACACACACACACACACACACACACACACACACGCACGCACGCACGCACGCACGCACACACACACACACACACAAACTAAAGTTGACATTTTTTTAAACATAATATTGTTTTCACACTAAAAGACAAAGAAGGCTGTCATGACAGACTGCTGCTTATAAACCAGCATTAATGATGGATTAAATAGGTTGATAGGCTCCAGCTCCTCCAGGATATGTGATACAGAAATTGGATTGATGATCGGGATGCCTTAAAAGTCTTTTTCCATTTTCTTGTGTCATTTCAAGCGTTCATCTATAAAATATATTTTGAAATACGAAAGTTGGGCTTAACTAAAATGCAGCCATTGACAAGGCTTGAGAGTATGTTTTGATGTCACCGAAACACGGTTTACGATAAAACCTCACATCTTGTCACTTTTTACAATATGTTGCTCATTTTTGCTGTTGGGGAAAAACAAAAAGGTTAATACATCATTACCAGTCGCAAATGGAAATCAAGCTTGAAAATTAAAGAAAAAAGTCCATGCAGATCAAGCATCCACTGAGTCTCCAGTTTTGTCCACCAGAAAAAAACAAACAAACAAAACAAAACCACATGCAGTAAAATTGAGCATCCCATGTTCAAACAAACACACCAAAACGGCCAGATGGTTGCAGGCAAGAAAACCATCTTAGTAAATTTAAAAATGAATTGTAAAAATCACAAACGGGGAAAAAAAACATCCATTCATCAAAGAAAACTGTGACCAACCAATGAGAACTACACAACAATCGACATCATCAAAATAGGTGGACGAGGAGGGCTTACCTTGAGATTGCATCTCAGACCCTTGTTGTGTTGTACTCTGATTCATGTTTGCTCAAAGAGCCAATGAGGCAGAACCTGAAATGTCACGCCTCTGTACTTTAACATCAGTTTGCAGACAGTAGACACGTCACAATGCAACCTGTGCCGCTGTGTTCTAACGCCGCATGCAGAGTTGTCTCGTAACAATGTGGAAGTGTCAGGAGCGGCGAGGAAAAGTGCATGCAGGCCTAAATTGCACAACCGTAACGTCATTAAATTCGGGCCGGTGCTCTTCCCTCATCAAAAATCTAGAGATACTGACCGCTGTACTGCCTTTTCGTGGCGTGAAAGCCGGTGGCTGGTGGTGGGAACTTCATCCAGGTCGTCGTCCAGGTCGCATCCGTTGTCCGCTCCCTCTTGCGAGTAGCTGTGCTTCATGACCAAGATGCTCCTACGGTTCGCCGCGCTCGGCAAGAGGGGCCGCACGGACATGGGCGGCTGCGGCAGGTCCGCGAGGAGGCCGCCCGCCGTCAGGTCCCGCGCGCTCAGATTCCCGCGGCTCCCTCGCCCGCTGAGGGACAACTGGGATATGTGGGCCGAGCCCGGGTTGGCGGAGGAGCCACAGTGGTGGTCGTGGATGCAGCGTGAGGAGGCACGGCGGAGGGCGTGGTAGTTCTCAAAGTCTTCCGCAAGGTCCACGAGGTCTGCTGAGGCAGCGGCGGCGGTGGCGCTGCGCAAAGTGCACAGCTCGTAGTGAGGCGGCTCAAAGACCTCTTGGAACATGGTGGGGTCAAAGTCCTCACGCCGCAGGATGTACTTTTTGCGAGGCTGCTTGATTTGGACGATAACGGAGATGATGAGGAGGAGAAGGACAATGCAGCAGGTGACGCCAATGATGGTCCCGTTTGTGTTGTTCAGGTTGTCCAGGATGTTGGCTTTCGTGTTCTCTGTGCACGAGCAGAGGCATTGTTTGTAAGAGTGAGTCCCAGGGTCATCAAGGCTTGCGCTTTTTGGGCACTCGCCATCAAAATAATTCCTTGAGGAAAAGGCTTTTCGGCCCACATCTAAAACATTTGGTACCTGTACAAAGATATTGGATGAACACATCTCACCTTTACACTGATTCTCATCCCAGGGGTACACGCAGTTCTGCTGGCCGTTGCACACCAGTGTGTTGTTTATGCACATGTTACTGTGACAGAAGAAGGCATCTGGATCACACGGAGCTGTAAATACAGATGGAACACAAAAGAGGAACACTCAGAAACACTTTTATTCCTGAAACTGAAGAGATTAAAATGAAAACAATGTCATTCACTTGCTCACTCTATCCAAAAATATAGATTTTTTTTTCACTTCTGTCAGATCATTATTAACGGCACCAAATCTGTAAGCTGCTTAAAATGTGCAAATCAGTTTAGGGGAAGTCATTTCAAATACGTCTGCTCCCCCAAAAGCCATCCCTTGTTTTGTTCTAATCTTGAAAATCACTTTTACTTGATGTGTGTGGATTGTGTCCATGACATCGGCATGTCCTACAACTTGAATCACTCGTAAATCTTTTGTCCACATTTGAGTTTGGTGCTCCTTTCTCATCAGCACCCGTCAAATTCTCAGCAAATCTCTCCCCCTTGGCTCCCCCTTAGCGTGGCCTTGCCGCAATCATCAGGCCGTCATCCCACGACTCTGCCCGTCGATGACGTCGGCGCAAGGGCGGACCAAGCCATCAAGTCGACGCGGTCATAAAATCAGTGCACTAATGTTACAGGCGACATCATCATGGAGTAATACACAGCCAAGGTGACCGACCGTGTTGTCACTTTATCCATCCATGCCTTCAACGGCAAAAAGATGAAATAAATTCCTCTGGTGTGGATTCTGATCTGGATTTGAACCAACACTTAATGGGCTATCCATTGGCAGACGCGCCCGCCCCTCCTCTATGGAGTCTAATTGAAAATTGACTGGGTACCTTTTAAACTAACACATCAATCAAACAACAAATACATATTTATATTTCAATCATGGAAATACTGTTAAATTCCCATATTTGCAATTTTTGCCTCTGATCTATGAATATCTGTGACTCCACAAACAGTATAGGTGTCATGGATAATCCAAATATCCGAGCGTCAAATACAATGCTTTAGCTCGCTGTTGATAACCAGTAGAGGGGGCCCAGTCTCTGCTTCTCACCTCTGAAGGCTCCTCTCGTCAAAGCCCAATCAGGGTGAGGCCACTGAGTGATGCTCATAGTTCTTGGACAAAATTATGACCAATGCGTTCGGTGATAAAAGTGCCCTTTTGCCCACACGTTAATGTGTTCCACTCGATACCGGAGGCACAAATTAATTTGCTAATTAGTAGAATAATTAGACAGTGTCTGCACAAACAAGGTTGATGCAGCAAAGCCCGTTGATGTTGCTTTGCGGTTTGCATTTCCAACAATCTACTACGACTATTGTCAATATTAATTTTGCTGTGAGAGCTCAAATGTATATATAATGTACATGTAGTGTGTATGTATGTGTGTGTGTGTGTGTGTGTGTGTGTGTGTGTGTGTGTGTGTGTGTGTGTGTGTGTGTGTGTGTGTGTGTCAACCTGAACGACACCACCATAATTACATGTACAAGCAGTTGGGGGCATGCACAGATGATAATGGTTGAATGTTTGCATGTGGGAATAGTGCGCATCCCGCAGAAGCATCTCAGGGAGTGAGCAGCTTTCCAAAAGCTGACGTTACCCTTTGGGAAAGCGCAATACTCGTAAAGGCCTAACAAAACTTAAAAAAAAAAAACCACTACTACGAGGAGAATGTCTCAGCTTCACTTTTAGTTTTACTGTGTAAGCAAATTGGAGGAACATAACGTCGCCTAACGGGCTCATCGTCGGCCTGACGTTCTCAATAAATGACATTCAGTTGTTTTTTTTTCGTCATTTAAAATAAACTAGATGTTGATGCAAAGTATGCTATCAACTGGTCTTAATACATCCACTTCTTATTCATGAACGCTGGTCCGAAATGTATGAACACAGTCACGCCTACATCATGTCACTGAATAAATGAAAGAACTGTTCCATGTATAAATTTGACAGCACTTCATGCATTTTGCAATGAGCACTCTTTTCTTGGTTTAAAACGTGCGACACAAGCAGAAGACTAAATTGAGTCACTCTCGGGTGCAGCTGTCCATTCGTCGCTGGTGATGCTGCTCTCACGACGGAGGCCTTTCGGCAGAGGTGTTGTCGTGACAACAGTGCACCCTGCCTCTACTTGGTGAAAAGGTCACGAAAAATGGTGACTTTTCAGCGCATTCACATAAACAGTAGGTGGATCATGTCACGTGAGATAGTCTTACGCTCTTGGTAGGTCGTGAAAAGGATGCGGAAGCGACTTTTGCGGCTGGCCTCATCTGCCCACATTCGAATGACACCCAAGGTCGACACCAACATGAGGTCATTGGCCACCGTAGAACAGAACTTGCTCTTCAGGTCCTCCACCGAGCTGGGGTGAGATAAGAAGTTCAGGAGTTGGTAAAAAAAAAAAAAAAAAAACCAAACAAAAAAAAACATTTCCCACACTTTTTCAGTGAATATTGTGTAAATGTCAATGACTACATTCAGTCTTGGTGGAGGCCATTTTAATTTGTTAACTGGTGACCACAGCCGAATATTGCCTCTCCCGAGATAAAACACAACTCCTTACAGTTTCCAAGCCCGCACTTAAATCTTCCGTTATCTGATTTTAACATATATTATCTTGAGAAGAGGCTATTGATTTGCAAGTAAAGCTGATTGAAGATATAAAAAAAAAAGCTTAGCTTCGTGCTCCAGGCAATGTTGGCCAAGTTATTTCTGAAAATGAAGACATTGCATATCCATTGTTTCTGAAATAACTCATGGTCTTGCACAACTGTCGACAACACACAAAAAAATTATAATTAAATTACCCGGCCCATTTCCTGTTGACATTTGTATCTATATTTTTTTTCACAGAATCAATCATTCACTGGATGTTTAGGATACCTTTCCATCTTAAAAAACATAGCTTGCAGTCCTGTAGCTACGTTTTATCATTATCATTATTATAATCATAAATATCATGATCACCATTGTTATTAAATGACATTGTTATTGTGATTAAAGGCGGGTGGCACAGTGTTTTGGAGGACTTTGAGCAATAAAAGTTTTATCAGTGGGTGCGGGAAAAAGATAAGAGCAACTTATCTTATCATCACATCAAATATTACATTCTTCATCTCAATGTGGAGCGCACAGACTGGGATTGTTATTTTTTACCCCCGAAGATAACAACGTGATTAGGCACCAATTACAAAAGCCATCTGAAAGTAGATTGAAACTGTGTCAACTCGTCCTACCTGCCGCCGTCATACACCGCCACAAAGTTGCGCTTGCATTCATTGGAATTGGCCATCTCATAGTCGAGGAAACGTAGGTAGATCTACATACAGAAAGGGAGACCAAGGCAGGAAACACACATGCAGACACACATGACTGGAAATCAAACTCTTAACCGAAAGCAGTCAACACAAAAACAATGTCGAACAAGAAATTGCAATTTTCACTGCACAAAACTACGCCAAAGTGGAAAAATGTCAAACACTCAAAATAAACTCACTGACTCCCCCAAAATCCAACCAAATAACCAATCTAGGTAAAAACAACGTCTCTCACCTTCTCTCTCGGGAATGCTTGAAAAATAAGGTCTGATTCAGAAAGTGCACCCCCTGATCCCACCCTTCTTACATCAGCCTCCGTGACTCGTTCATCAAGACAAGATCGGCCCATCACATCCGCGGTTCCACTTGGCTGCGCGCCGAGCCCGCCATCATTACGGTTAATGAGTCGGGCCGCTCATAAAGCGTGACAGGAGAACGTGACACTTTGAAACGTGCAAAGACCAAAGCTTGCGGATGGGGATGGATAATAGAGCCTGCGATTTCAGCACGGCTTCAGTAACGTGACGAGTGAGGCGGATGTCAAAAAGAAAAAAGAAAAAAAATTGAACAAATGGAAAGCAAAAAAACACATCGCGGATAAGTCGCACATAGGTGTCGATAAGATCCATACACAGTCCAGGAAGAGCCAATACAAGAGGTGCAATCATTCCAAATTCCGCCTCCATGTTGTTTAAAGTGAACCTCTCTGATGGTTTCAATCAAAACAGCGCATTATTCTTTTTGGATACTCATTCTGGATACCCTAAGTTTCAACAGGCTGACGAAATGCGAGCTGGTTTGCAATGCAAAGTTGCATCCATCCATGCACTATATGTCTTGCCTACGGCGTGGACATTTCTAAAACAACGGCAATGGGTAGGGGGGATTAAATCCCTATTAGTCCTTGAAGGCAGGAGCGGATGATGGAAGAGCTTCAAAAGACATTTTCTCTCCCCTCCGGGAAGGATGCCACATGGATTTTTAAGGATAACCCATTTTAATGTTGTTGAATTTTCTGAGCACGTCGGTTTGACAGTAGGATGGTCAAGCCCTGCAGTAAAATGACAGGAATGGGTAAAAAGAAGCAAAAATAAAGTTGAAAAAGAATGCAATGCCAGTAATTGTTTAAGTAGTTAAAGCATCACTCCAAATAAACTTTTTGAGATTGACAGATCTTGTTTTGTACATACAAATAATACAAACAAAAAGAAAAAAAATGAATGGGCTGTTATTTTTCAGGATGGCGCATGCCGGTGGACAAGACGGACCATGGATGAGGAAAAATCAGGTGCTGATTTCATCACAAACCCAAATGACAGCAATGGATCAAATAGATAACATCGGCAATTTGTAAGGCGAGAAGATGGGTTCCAGCAGGAAAATAGGCTGCCTGCTTATTGATTCCGCCGCAGCCGGCAATGAAGCAGAATCCATCACTGAGTTGTGGAGGAATATGTTCACACTGTGGCTAAAAGGCCCTCGTAATGGTGAGGTCCCGCTGTTCACCGCAGCCGCTGGCAACATCCATATTTCTGATCAATGCATGTAAAGATGCACAAAGTGCAAGGCAGCGGAAAGAGAAATGAGGCGATATTTATGGCTAAGACTAGTTGGAGGAAAAAAGCAGATGTTTACCTAGCGAATTAGCCAACTATTTGTTGCTTGTCCACATTAGCGTCGCGGGTGAGCTGTAGCCCGTTACAACTGCTGAAGACTCTTCAGTTAAAATTCGCAAAAAGGTGATCAACGAAAGCAGAGTCACGGTCTTAAAGTCTACGACTGTGCCTCGGACAAGCGTGCGAGACCACCTTGACCTTCTCGGCTCTGGGAAATGGCACAGACAGTTACATTTAATCGGTTCTAAACGTATGTACTTTATTTATGATTTTAACAATATGCGAGATGAATGGAAGCTCAATTTATTGGACAACAACATATTGCATGTTTTTAGATGAACCTCACAAGATTCTTTGAAAAAAAAAGCTTCGTTAAATCGGATATTTTATTCATCCCTTCTTTTCCCACATTGACTCTGGGGGTCCCCTTGCACTCTCTGGAGCGCTCCGATGCAGTTAATGAGAGCCCCTGGTATAGGATGTCATTATCTACCATCGCCGTTCTGTCTGGCACACCGAGGTAGTAGATCAGTCCAATAGTAGCATCATGGGAGGAGAAAATATACAGCGCTGGAAACTAGAATCGCAGTTTTGCTTCCGTTTTCTTCTTCTGTTTGTTTTATTTAAGACCGCTAAGCTCTACCCTTGAGGTGCCGTGACATTAGTCAAAAGGTATTTTGAAAACCTTCACCGTGTTTGGCAAAGGCACCGATTGTGTAATGCACTGTTCTTAAGTGCACGACTTGATTGTAAAGTTCTGCAGGCTGTGTGGAATCGTATCGTGCAGAGTATTCAAGGATATTTGTGCGAGGAAACAGGGCGTTGGGGAGATATACGACTTGGGGAATAAGTCATATAGGAGCTAAGCAGCAAATGGAGCCATACATCACAGTGGCGCCGACGCTATCAGGCAACGTGCGCACGTGAGGCTGCAGCATCGTAACGTTTTGTTTTTCTTTTTTCAATTTGTATTTGAACCCATCCTGTTCGGCGAGTAGCAAGTTGTACAGCACAGGACAGTGAGCCAAGCGGTGCTGCACGCGTGCATTGGGAGTGGCCATGCAGTGTCAAAACACCTGCTTGTGTGTATGTGGTGCATTCAAAACACAAGTGATAGATAGATGGTGTGGACCAGATGGAAGCAGGGAGGCAAGTGCCCTGTTCGGAGAGCCGAACGCAGCAACACTATTGAACAAGCCGTAAGGCTTCTTCCTCTCTCCGTCTGTTCTTCCTGACAACTAGGAAAGAGGAAGTGACCCGACATGAACCCCTTCGACCAAACTGTCTGACCCTCAGTGAGGCAAGCCCCCCCCCCCGAAGCCATGAATAGCCACTATGGGATACTGCTGACATCTACAGATGGCCCTCATGTAATATCAAGGTTTGCTGATGCAACCCTCTGACCCTCTTCTCAGCGCCTGTGGCGGGAAATTAAATGGAAATAAATAAGGACAAAAAAAAAAGCTTTGTAGTATCCCGACCAAAAACCTTTCCTGAAGAATACGACTGAGGGTAGAATTTTTCAAATGAACCTTGAAAAAGATGATACAGCCAATGTTCATCATTTTGGTCTCTATTGGAGTAAAACTGCTCTTCCTTCACCTGATTTTTATTATTCCACCTGAAGAAGAAATTCAAATGATGTAGTGCAGCATGGATAAAGCTTTCTAGCGAGCAGGATTGTGCCGCCCAAAACATGAGTTTTCCATCAAATTCTGGTTAGAATTCAGGATGTCTTTCCACTTTGATTGAACTTATACTTCACAAATTGTTATTTCACTTCAAGACTTTCAGCTAATAGATGGAGGGACCAATAGTTCAACCTTGGAGGAAGACTGTGCATTTTTTAGTTATCTTTGTAGAAGACAGGAACTGTCGATATGTCTCATGGCTACAACTGTGCAGGTGTAACTCACAAGGTGAGTGGCGAGTGTCTGTAAAGTTAAGTTAGTGAGGAGGGCAGCCGACTCACCTTGGAGCGTGGTGGCGCCCGGATGTACCATTTGCAGTCGACGGCCTCGTTGGCGCCAGCCTTCCCGTCTCTGGTGATCTGATGAGACTCGACAATACCTTCTGGACCGACCATGTCGTACTGACATGCTGAGACACACACACACACACACACACACACACACACACACACACACACACACACACACACACACACACACACACACACACACACACAAACAGAAAACACAGCTTTGTCAGGTCAACTAAATAAAACAGTAAAAAACTCTATTGACATGAAAGCAGCAGTGTTGTCATAGTTCACGCGAAACAGTTACTTTACTGATTTTTTGATGTGAAATGTTGAGAAAGTACCTACAGGGTAGAGGTGGTGGTACTCCCAAGTCTGCAAAGTCTGGATCTGAGGAGAGAGCAGAGGAGGGATTCAACTGGGATGCAATATCGCAAAATACCCCAAAATGTTTGTTTGAATGTAAAATGCACACGCTATTATTTTGTTTTCAACAGACAAATCTTTTTGCTTCACAAGTAGCTGATTTGTCCTCATCTTCCCAGAGAGAGAGAGAGAGAGAGAGAGAGAGAGAGAGACTACCTACAGGGTAGAGGTGGTGGTACTCCCAAGTCTGCAAAGTCTGGATCTGAGGAGAGAGCAGAGGAGGGATTCAACTGGGAAGCAATATCGCAAAATACCCCAAAATGTTTGAATGTAAAATGCACACGCTATTATATTGTTTTCAACAGACGAATCTTTTTGCTTCACAAGTAGCTGATTTGTCCTCATCTTTCTCAATGAAAGTATTTGTGCATGAAAATAAAAAGCCATTTTAACAATGTTGAGCTTTACTTTTTTTTTAACACTGCTATTGTCCTGAACATACTTGTTCATACAAATTTGGAGTCTCAGATCTCACTTTGCAGCCATGAAAGCTTCCACTCTTGAGGCAAGACTTCCAACAAGATTTTGATGCCTGGGAAGTTTTTTTCCATTAATCCCAACCACATGCGAGGTCACCGATTTGGGATTTAAGAGACGGCCAGGCTCACAATCTCTCTTCTACTGCAGAATGGCAAACTGCTCCTCATTGCTAATTCATACCTCTCTCTGCTACATTCTAGGTTAATAAAAGAGAAAAAAAAATGGGTAAAGTGTTAGAAGTATTTTAGAAAAATATAGAGGTCATTTAAAAGGGAAACATTTAATCCATGATGAAGTTTCTCACATTGGGAGTGTGCCAAAGCCGTACCTTTTATCAGCCTCATGAGATAAGAGAAGTGTCCAGTAAAGTTTTGAAAGTCACCTTGACGTAGAAGTTTTAAAGCAACTTTTTCGATAGAATGTGTCATGTTGTAAGAAATGAAATCAAGAACCTTGGCCGCCTTTGACCATTTGCAGCTGATTTTCTTCACAGACTCCCAACAAGTCTTCACCCGTCACAAACTTTACCTCTGAGCCAACCCCATTATGCTCCCTTCTATGTTTACGGTATCCATCAATCCATGTATTTTTCTTTAGCTTTTATCCTCATCAGGCTTCCGGACGACTTGGAGCCAATCCCAGAATCCTCTGATGTCATCCCTAGGGTGCTGACATCCACTATTGCTCCACGCTTGTCTGGTCTGTGGGAATTACATATTAAGCAAATGATCCTTGTTATGAATACGAAGCTTTACAACCGTGGTACTTTATCACACTGTAAGCTTCTATTAAGAGAAATAAGAACAAATCCACAGTATCTCAGTCCATTAATCAATGAGTAGATATTCTCGGCCTGACTTCAGCTCCGTTCTATCCTGAAGTGCCTCAACCTCTTCTCATCCTCGGGATGTCGAAACAAAAACCACTGTGATGTTACTGTACTGGTTTGTTCAAGCTTGTTGTAGGTGACGTACCAAAATGGGCCTGACAGTTGTATTGAAAGATTTTTTACAATATTTGCTGAGAATAAAGCCCAGACGATAATTTACCAATAGCCGTTTGTTCATTTTTGTAGTCCGAAATGACGGGCTAGCGTTTGGCATGTCTGCCTCCGAGTTGTGATTTTCAGGGTCTGCAACCCGGAATGAGGACATGCGCTTTTCCGAAAATGGATGGATGGAAGTTTGATGCCTCTGAAAGTGGATCACTCGCCTGACTTCTGTGCCGGCAGTGCGACTTTGGTTCCCCCTCAGCGGCCATTATGATCTGTCTCGATATAACCGGTTATTGACTGCCCGGCCCGCTTCATATCATCGAAGTGTGCTTAATGAAATGACCTGCAGAGTCATCTGCGAGATGATGAGTTTGATGCCCTTCTTGTGTTTGAATTTGCTCGGATGCTCGTCCCCAAGTCTATTAGCCTCCTCTAAGATACGTGGGTGCCCACAGCGAAGAGGAAGACGCGCTTGAAGGATGAGAAAATCAAAGAGGAAGACAGTTAATGAAACAGCGACCTTCAGGTCATGTGTGCTGCTTGCGCCAGAGATTTATGATTGGTTGCTGGCATCACTTAACCCTTCCGCCGTCACAAGGCCAAGCCACCTCAGTGGAATACATGCATGTGAACCAGCGCACCTCTATTCCTGACATGACAACAGAGAGCCCACCCAAAAGAGGCTGCTGTGCTTACAAATGTCTCTCGTGCGACCCATGACCTTTTAAGACGAGGGCTGCTGAATTTCAAGCAGGCGGCCTGCATTTCACCATCAATCACTTCCTTTGCCCCTCTTCCCGCTTTCATTAATCGATTCGATGTATTCCATAGACGGACGGTTGATGTAAGACGCGTGCGGCGGCCGTATTTTGACATGTGCGTTACGTGCGGCCGAACGGAGCGACATCTCCGGGAGGGGTGTCGACGCGTCCCAAAATAAAGGTGAAAAAAATTCCTTCAGGAAATGGTTTCATCTTGCGAAATGACGTGTACTTCTGTGTTCTTTTCATGCCTGTGTGTACTATACCATTCTATTCATGCTTCCCTGCATGCAACTCCCTCCCTCCGCATGTGTGGAATTCTGAGCACATCCACGCGTTGCCACACCCACTGCTCTCGTCAGAAAGCTCAGTTAAGAGTGTAATCATCTGGATCTTCTTGTATGTACCCTATGCAACAGTGCAAATTCTCTCTTTCAAGCCAGCGACGCAGATTGCCATGTTGCCGTACAAGCACTGTTCGGACACGCACACATAAGCAGAGGCTAACATGCGGTTGCAGGAAAATACGGTGAAACATTCAAAGGCAGCGTGCAAAGCCTCCAGATGAAAACAAATTGCTTGCAGCTCAACATCATGTTTACATCGCTCACAGCACTGCGGAGTTTATTCACGTTAGCAGCCAGACATTCAAATTACTACTTGGCGCTGATTAACCAGCTTTGCGACGTGTTCATATTTTTAACTAAGCATGCAGGCAGCAAAGTAAATTCCTAATAAGCACGGCTTCCCAGTGGTGTTGTACTATTGCAGGCAAAACACCGTCTTTTATTAATGAGGCACTCGAATTGGGAATTGAAAAGTAAGCTCCGATGCTCCACATCTGAATGAATGAAAGTCCAAAATGTGAATGAGTCTCAGGGTTGGCGCCGTGTTGTAATATCCCCGCAATTTCTCTCTCTCTGTCTCTCTCACACACGCACACACACGCACACCCACACAAAACTCAATTTCCCAGTGGTCCCATTTCCTTTCAGCGGCTCCGCTGTGACATTTAAATAAGCATCTGATTAATAATGTCTGCTTAAGTGGTTGATCAAGCTAATAAAGTGATGTCATTAATCACGGCAGGTAGACCTGCAAGTAAAGTTCAACAGACATCAAGGAAACATGAGACAGTGAGGAGGAAAAGGCAGGCTGAAGAAGGACTGCATACATAACGCGGCTGCTGTGGCTTACAAATGTCTCTCGTGCGACCCATGACCTTTTAAGACGAGGGCTGCTGAATTTCAAGCAGGCGGCCTGCATTTCACCATCAATCACTTCCTTTGCCCCTCTTCCCGCTTTCATTAATCGATTCGATGTATTCCATAGACGGACGGTTGATGTAAGACGCGTGCGGCGGCCGTATTTTGACATGTGCGTTACGTGCGGCCGAACGGAGCGACATCTCCGGGAGGGGTGTCGACGCGTCCCAAAATAAAGGTGAAAAAAATTCCTTCAGGAAATGGTTTCATCTTGCGAAATGACGTGTACTTCTGTGTTCTTTTCATGCCTGTGTGTACTATACCATTCTATTCATGCTTCCCTGCATGCAACTCCCTCCCTCCGCATGTGTGGAATTCTGAGCACATCCACGCGTTGCCACACCCACTGCTCTCGTCAGAAAGCTCAGTTAAGAGTGTAATCATCTGGATCTTCTTGTATGTACCCTATGCAACAGTGCAAATTCTCTCTTTCAAGCCAGCGACGCAGATTGCCATGTTGCCGTACAAGCACTGTTCGGACACGCACACATAAGCAGAGGCTAACATGCGGTTGCAGGAAAATACGGTGAAACATTCAAAGGCAGCGTGCAAAGCCTCCAGATGAAAACAAATTGCTTGCAGCTCAACATCATGTTTACATCCCGCTTCATATCATCGAAGGGTGCTTAATGAAATGACCTGCAGAGTCATCTGCGAGATGATGAGTTTGATGCCCTTCTTGTGTTTGTATTTGCTCCGATGCTCGTCCCCAAGTCTATTAGCCTCCTCTAAAATACGTGGGTGCCCGCAGCGAAGAGGAAGACGCGCTTGAAGGATGAGAAAATCAAAGAGGAAGACAGTTAATGAAACAGCGACCTTCAGGTCATGTGTGCTGCTTGCGCCAGAGATTTATGATTGGTTGCTGGCATCACTTAACCCTTCCGCCGTCACAAGGCCAAGCCACCTCAGTGGAATACATGCATGTGAACCAGCGCACCTCTATTCCTGACATGACAACAGAGAGCCCACCCAAAAGAGGCTGCTGTGCTTACAAATGTCTCTCGTGCGACCCATGACCTTTTAAGACGAGGGCTGCTGAATTTCAAGCAGGTGGCCTGCATTTCACCATCAATCACTTCCTTTGCCTCTCTTCCCGCTTTTATTAATCAATTCAATGTATTCCATAGACGGACGGTTGATGTAAGACGTGTGCGGCGTCCGTATTTTGACATGTGTGTTACGTGCGGCCGAACGGAGCGACATCTCCGGGAGGGGTGTCGACGCGTCCCAAAATAAAGGTGAAAAAAATTCCTTCAGGAAATGGTTTCATCTTGCGAAATGACGTGTACTTCTGTGTTCTTTTCATGCCTGTGTGTACTATACCATTCTATTCATGCTTCCCTGCATGCAACTCCCTCCCTCCGCATGTGTGGAATTCTGAGCACATCCACGCGTTGCCACACCCACTGCTCTCGTCAGAAAGCTCAGTTAAGAGTGTAATCATCTGGATCTTCTTGTATGTACCCTATGCAACAGTGCAAATTCTCTCTTTCAAGCCAGCGACGCAGATTGCCATGTTGCCGTACAAGCACTGTTCGGACACGCACACATAAGCAGAGGCTAACATGCGGTTGCAGGAAAATACGGTGAAACATTCAAAGGCAGCGTGCAAAGCCTCCAGATGAAAACAAATTGCTTGCAGCTCAACATCATGTTTACATCGCTCACAGCACTGCGGAGTTTATTCACGTTAGCAGCCAGA